TCGTAGGCAGCGAATGGGGGGGGGGATATCAATAGGATATTCCTTGTATTGTTTAGTTGACTTCTTTTCCCGAGATGAATCGAGCTTATACCTTAATTGCCTGAGCATTTGGCTCTCTAGGAGGTGCTCTTTAGAAGGTGTTAACGCATCCATTTTGAACGATCGCTTCTTATTAATGTGTTTACTGGCTAATCCTGCGCTGATGTTTGTTGCATGAGAAGGGACCTTATTATAATATTAGTTTAAAAGGTTCCAATGCAATTCCTCATTGTTCTATACGATGTTTCAACGATTTCGAACGTATCATTGCTTTCTTATTTGAATTATTACTTGGATCAGTGACTGATTTGATAGTTATCACCCTTTTACTCCGATACTTTAGTCGTTAGTGCTTATCACGATAGTAACAGACTTGTGAAGAGACGTTTAATGCCTTTCCCAGCTATTAAGCGGATTTTATTGTCGTCTTTTAATCTCAAATTTGTATTATCTCGGTAGCCCACACTCTTCTGTGCAGCGGACGTAAATTACAGGTTGTTGGTTCATATAGAATTCTACCAAAGGGTAACCATCGTTCTGAAGTGTCTTTGGTCATTTAATTTACAATCTCTGAATGTAACTAGTTCCCTTCTTTCCACCCGCTCCGATCCCTAAATTTGTAAACTGGGAAAACATTACATTGCTGCCGCTTTCATGTGTTTTGCATCGGAAAGTGTTAAAACAGATGATAGCTGCAATGACGTTCGGCGACCTCGTTCGCGCCGCTGGTTTCTTATGGGTTATCGATGTTATTGCTAGCGATTGAATGTGTAAATGAGTGTTTTGTTAGTCAATCACATGGCCTTTGTCATGTTATGACCTCATTGTTGTTCTATTTCTACCGCATTGTTTTTAGCACATGGCGTTTCTCTGTGTAACATAAATTACTGCCTAATTCACTGGTGAACTTTGTTATTTATTATGATTTGGTGACTAATTGGGCACGATACCGCATAACAACGATGTTCCTATAGGTTGTGATGAACGGGAGGCTTTTTTGACCAAAGGCTATCACTCATTTGTTTTTTATCTTCTCTAATTCCTTATTCAACATCATCACACATGTTCACCCGAGAGGTCTGGCGCGACCGCACGGTGGGTAAGGTTCTGGAATTATATATTTCGAAAAAACTGAAAGAACAGTGTTGAATGACCGCTTCTACTGTTTAAGACGCCCTTCTGAAAATAAAACAAACAACGGCCCTCACATCAAATCGTTTTTTTGCAGGCCGCACCAGATGAGCCATGGTTGAAAAATGTTTCCATCGTTGGTGTCAAACAAATCGACCGGATAGTGGAGGTGGTTGAGGAGACGCTTAAGGGAAACACAGGTTCGAATGAATGAATAGATAGCTTTCATAATCCTAACTCTAAATCGCTATGGTTATGGTCAAGAGTTTCAGTGCGGCTTCTAAGTCGGAAGCGTCCAGATGCAGGATTATCATTACCGAAGATGAGAAAAAATGAGCTTGTTGAGGTTTGCTACCGTTGCTCAAAGTAGTATCAGAGCTGCTTTAAGAATCCTGGTGATCTTACTGGTGAGTGGTCTGAATTAAGGTTCTGGCGATAAACACCGGTTGCCTGAATCACTGCACCTACTGTAAGACAAAAATGGCGAGAGGAGATCTCAAAAGCTACCCTTTAGAGGAGCTTGTCGAACAGGTTTCTTTTTCACTAAAACAGCGATTAGGTTTAGTGGATCTATTCGAATTATGAATTTTTAAAAATTTTCATTGTTGGCAAAGCTTTCAATGCTGTGTGTCATTAGGTTCAATTGTTATTAAGGCAAGCTGCGAAAACGTCTTTTTCTATATGCACTTGTTTTTTATTCGAGTTGTTTTTCCGCCGAATTCATTTTTCGAGCTATTTTATATTTCTTCTGATTCAGGCTCGTACAGCGTTCGAAAGGGACGGCGTCAAAGAATTGTGGCTCACTTCAGAGGATTTAGGGGCGTGGGGCCGAGATATTGGAATGGTAAGTTTAAACCTGTATTTTCTTTCGGAACTTGATACATTCTAGATCAAGTTTTGTGGCTCGAGTTTTTTTGAATTATTCAAGAACGGCGTTGAAAGCTGGAAAAGGAGAGAAATTATTCTCTTTATAGTGTGCATCACCACATAGTCATTCTTCTGAAACGAAACTTTTTTAAAATTTTTACTTCTTCCAATCAGAATCCTTCTAAAATTGTCTTTCATCGCTCCTCTAGAATAACCCTTTTGAGTAGCCCGTTTGACTAATCAATTACGTCTTTTGTGAAGTTCGAAAGCATTCAAGACAATGCAAATCTTAACAAGAGGCATTTCAAGAGTCTCTGACTTGATAGGAAACTAGATGCAGCTATCTTATTCACAATCCGATCCCTGAAGTCGATTCAGTGCGAGCGTATGCTTGGGAGGATACCCGCTTCCATGTGACTTGCGCAATTTCTGTCAAGTCCATGTTCTGCAACATTCGTCACGAGACGAGAAGAAAAAGTAGCCCGAAGCGCGTGCTCATTCCTAAAAGACTTGCCACAATCTAGGAAACATGCAGCATGTCGAAATCATTCGTCGACTTGTAGACAATGAGAGAAGAGAATAGGACAATGAAAAGTATGAAAAACCGCCTCTTTCAACCAAAACCATCCGCTTTAGCACCCCTACACGATACCTTTTCCTGCCTGCGGAATCCATTGAAAGCATATTTCCTCTTGGGTCTAAATAAGTTTCCCTTTTAGGGCTCCCAGCTATTTTTAGAATTCATTATACTCGTTTCCTGAATGTTTTGCTTTTATCATAGCCATCATTTGAGTTCTGGAGTATCCTGGGAAGGCTATCGAGGCTGTTTTTATGGGATGGCTTCTAAATTGCTATTTTAGAGGTCTAAAGAGACATATCATAATTTTAAATTGTGTAATTTGTAATTTTATTGCTTTAACAACAACTCTGTTTGAGGTGCTTCCTGATCTCTTGAATGAATTGGTAAAAGTCATTCCTGATGGATGTATGATGAGGCTAGGAATGACCAATCCACCGTACATACTCGATTATTTAGAAGTGAGTATGCTACGCAGATGTAGTAGCTTGTTTTCGTTATTCTTCTTTATATGATTTGATTTCCCTTTACCAGTTTCGGGGTTTTAATAAGGATGATGTACAAAAGTATTTGTAGGAGATTGCGGCAGTCCTGAATCACCCACGTGTCTATTCATTCCTTCATATTCCTGTACAGTCGGGTAGCGATGCCGTATTGCGTGATATGAAGCGTGAATACTCAAGCGATCACTTCAAAATGATTATGGATTTTATGTTGAAAAAGTGAGTTGATTGGTGTCCAGTCTAAAAGAACTAGTATTAATCGAATTTTATAATAGATCAGAGAAAAAAGATTGAGCGTCCCATGATGTGTAATTAGGTCAGGACGCGAATTTTTCGCGCGGAACATCAATTTTTTTTTGCGTTCCCGCGCGCGATTTGTTGCACATCGCGCGCGTGAAGGTCGCAAGGCGAGCGCGCAAAGTTTGCAGTCGCGTGAGGGCTATATAACGGAATTAATCGTCATATCGAATACTAAAGAAAAAATGAATATCAGGCTTCATTAACTGACAAAAATAGCCTCTCTTTTATGGGTAATTTTCTCGCTGCTTGTTTTCAGCTATTTATAAAAGAGTACTGTCATAGAAGAAATCGTACGGAGCTCATAAAATGGCGGGAAGATAACTTTATTTTGCGAGAGGATGAGAAAATATAGACTAACTGGACCTTTTTTCAGAGTGCCGAATATTTACATAGCGACCGATATGATTTGTGCATTTCCAACGGAGACTGAAGAGGATTTCGAAGAAAGCATGCAACTTGTCCGCGACTACCAATTCCCGTCACTTTTCATCAATCAGTTCTATCCGCGTTCTGGTACACCAGCGGCTCGAATGAAAAAGGTGATAAACGAGTTCGGCGATCTCATTATTCAGATGACAGCCTGGCGCTATGGCCCGAATTAGAATAGGGCTCGCTTGAATTTTGACACTATCTGGAAAGGGGACTCGTTTGGGTCGTTGAACACACCAGTCTGATTCGAAAGTTGCGTTGGTTGTCTTGCTCGGTAGCTAACAAACTTAAGTCCGAAAATCCTATGAAAGAAGAAGGCAAGGATTGAAGGCGAACTCTTTGCGAGGTGTTCTCAAGTATCCCTATTCGACTAGCATTTTTGTAATTTACCAACCGGTTCCAAAACTCTCCGAATCCCATTCACCTTCCTCTCCCCTTTCCCTCCACTCCACATTGTTTCTATCAATTCTCGTATTGTGCGTGATGACAAACTGCTGCACTAACTGTAAGGTACGGGAAAGTTCTGTTGAATCGACTGATTGTGCCTTGCATAGTTACATTTGATCTATTTCAATCAAAGGCTGCTGTTTAGAGGACAATAGGTCCTGTTCTGGGTTATGAAGATGAGAAATTGTACTGGAGACTTGCTGAGAAGGAAAATCTGGTGTGCTGAGTAGGAATTTGATATCCATTTCGATTATTGATGTCAAGTTCTGATTTACAGCAGATTTGCCTCCACTTGGTTTTACCGCAAACTGCTCTCAAAGCATAGCCCAAGGACTATTTTTCATGGTCAGGTCATTTATGCTACAAGGTAGATTGACTGCCTCATCGATAAGCCTGTGAGGGCAACATTCGATAAGAAAGGCCTCCACCTGAATCTTGGTCTGCGTCGTTAAGGCAAGGCCCCCAAATCTGAATTTTGTTGGTAAAACTCCTACGGCTTCTCTGACTGATGAAGAAGATTTGTTTGGTTTCGATAGTGCGTAGTTTCGTAAAATAGACCTTTTTGATGGGAAAGTGACGCATGAAGGATTTCCTGAATGTACGAGGAGGGATTTCATCATTTCTCAAGTGGAACTTTCCAGAATTCTCATCTTTCAGCATTGATTCGTTTTCGCAATCCTCATCCAAAAAGCATGCCTAAGTGGAGTTCCATTTCCGAGGTGGTCACGTTCTGCGTGGGATATGTTTGAAGTTCCCAGACAATGATGTGTTGTCTGGGAACTTCAAACATATCACATACACATACACATACAAAGACACAAGACACAAGACACATACACAAGACACATACACAAGACAAAATCTAAAAATTTTTATCCAATTCGCTGAAATTATTGGTCATTGAGTTACGGATTTGAGGTTTCATTCTTTTGAATGAGTAGATAAACAATAACGTGAGGATGCATCAGAGTGCGCCACGAATTTTATCCGAACCCGGGATTGGAAGGCTTCGAACTGCGTGAATAGCCCGTACAAATTTCTGCACTTGTAGAGCAACTCGACTTCCTTTTTATTTTTAGGGTGTTTTAACTGTTGAGTAGGTAAACTTGAACTGATCCCAAGCACAGATGGAGATGAAAGGCCTGGTTAACCTGAATGGGTGAAAATCGGCCCAGAATCCACTTCATTTCCCACCCTGCTGCTCATGCTGGGGTGTTAAAAGCTCTACAACAGCACTGACAGCACTGAATGATTTTAAGGTGCGATTCAGAGGAACTTCCAGTCGGTGACTTGAAAAATCATATAACTCCCTTTTTAGGGTCATTACATACTGTCAATTTTTCAGATTGATACGGTGGAAGCTCGACGTCGAACTGCGGCCATGTCAGCTTTGTTCCGGGAATACAGTAGGTATACCCCGGAACGCATCGGAGAAGAGCACAATGTGTTGGTTTGCGAGATGGCAACGGGTGAGTGATCATTCTGGAGGTTACGGTACTATTACAGAAGAGGAACATCATCTTGAAGAATAAGTTCCTGACATAGTTGTAAAGCTAGTCCAGTTTGACTTTGACAGTTATCGGCTGTGCAAGTAGTGCGCTCAGGTTATCAGAGCAGTTTCTTTGGCGTTTTATTTTGTCTGGATCCATGACCACACGTTTAATTTTCTCGTTGAAGAGGGATGAGGTCGTTAAACAGAACGGGCTGATTAACTTTGCACTTTTGCATGGCTTCAATGCTTTCTATTGATTCCCCGTCCTTTACTCATCTCTCGATGGAAGTAAGAAGGTCTTTTCTTGGCAATAATGGAGAAAAGGCGCCTGTTCTTGCTTTTAGTACTTCATACGATAAGTAGTTCTTAGTTTACCCTTCAAAGACATGCTTTTCTTCTTATTCCATTTTCACTGACGCATCTCGCTATGATGGAATTGTTAATTAATCTCCTAATCTTGATTTAAAAATTTTCCAAAAAAGGGTTGCTGCACTTTGCCGGGACTTCTGTGAAGTTGATCGCGGGGCCAACTCATTTTAGGTTGCGGTGCTATCGGGTAGTACTTTCAAATTCCTCAAGCGCTTTTGTGAGCGTAGCCTTTACATAGGATTACTCACGCTTCGGTAATAATACTTGCAGTGGTTAATGGGTAGGGTAGGTTATCGATCAATAATGATTGTAAAACACTTTCTATTCATCAAATTGGAAATGGATGCGGCAAAGGAGTAGACGTTGGAACGATACGATACTCAGCGCTTCGCAGTTCAATTTGTGAATGGATCAGTCACCTCTCACAATCGAAAACAGGCTCGTCCGCTTTGGGTGTAGCATCCGGCCGACAATATTTGAACCTTTATAATGCCCTATATAGGCCGTTTTCCAATCTGACAACTGACAACGCCACATAAGTATACGGGTGAGCTATAAGTTTCATTCTAAGAGACTATCTCTGGAACAGTTTTTATCGTTGCCTTTAAACAAAGCCAGATGTCGACTGTCCAGAACTTACCATCTATCGTATAAGTACTTCTCTGAAGTTTTTGTCCAGGCACTGTTGCATGTGGGTGAAGGTGGTAAAGTGGCAAGTGGCGTGGTGGTAGACACGCGTCTTCCATTTACACTGAAGACCATTCTGAGGATAAGGGGTGATTGAAATGGCTCCTGAAATTTTACGCTTTTTTGGAACCGTTTTCGGCACTTCAACACCTCGGGTGTGTGCCGATTCGTGCGATTCTGGGTGCGCGCGNAACGCCTATTATTGGGGCACAAACTTGAAGTAGAATAGTTGGGTATGGTCAGCTGATCCTACTATCCACTCTACTTCAAGTTTGTGCTCCAATAGTAGGCGTAAGAGTCGTTCGAATCACCATGAATTCCGCCGCGCAGTTTGCCGTGCGACCCGGAATCGCACGAATCGTGGAATCTGCTAAACCGCCTTCAACGCGAATCGTGTCGTTGAACATCGATTGCCCCTTGCAATGAGGTTTTTACGCCAAATTCATGTCAAATATATTTTCAAAAACCCCTGTGATTCAAGAGGGAATTGGGCCTTCCCCTTGGTCTTCATCAAATAGTTCTTTTGATATTCCAGAACAAGTTATATGCCTCAATCTTGTGTGAATGTTCCTTGCTGTGAAAATTTTGAATAGTTTCAATTCCAAAAGCCAATGCACCATGGCTGGCAAAGACAAGGAAAAGGGCACCAAAGGGAAATATTTGACGGTGTGGCTCGCCTAGCACTTTGCTACGCCTACTTCTTTTTCGTTGAGAGTAAACATTTCCCAATTCCCGTTTGTCACATGGTTCAATGGGTGTTCTCCGTGCCCATGTTGTTTTTTCTTGTCTGTTCACTGTGCCCTTATGAAAATTCATCAAACAGTCCAATCCCTCCTGATCGATTCAAAAGTTTTTGACCATTTCGGGCGGAATTTTCGGGATCAAGATCCTTGTCAGAAGGTGGAGTTTCGATTTGCAATTGGAAGAAAAATAGAAGGGCGTTGTTGATTTCTGCTAAATTTTTTCGAAGGATTTTGTCCTTTGGAATAGGACACACGCAGGCGCATCACGCTGTCGAAGGCTGTCAAACTCGTCTAGGAGGTAGAACCAGTGATATGTATATCGGCTGGCCCTGCCAGTCTTAGTAGTCGTAGTGTTGTTGACATATGTACACATTCAAATGCTCTTACGATTCCTAATGAGGATCAGATGTAGGGCGCATTCAAAAAACGGGGATTATTAATGTCAGAAAACTTGTCCCTCGTAGTTTCTGTTTGTGATTCGAAAGCTCACCAGATTAGGAAACACAAGTGTGCTTGAGACTTTATAGGCTTCGAAAAAGGGGACCGCACCAAATCTCAGCCGTTAGTAGTAGTTTTTATTAATCATGGAGGTCAAAAATCCGAAAATCCGATCGTGTTGTGGAATATTTAATTCAAAATTGAATAGCGATTTACAGTTATGAATGTTGGGCGGAGGTGGTGTAGTGGCAAGTGGCCCACCCTCACACACGCATGGTCACGGGTTTGAATCCGGCATCAATATTCACCGTGGTCTACTAAGCCTTCCGTCCCTCCTGGGTCGGTTATTTGGTACTAGACTCTGGGAAGATAAGAGCACCGACTTGTACATCGGCTGGCCACTGCAAGTCATTGTATAGGCCACATACGCATTCAATACGCCACTACGATTCTGAATGGAAGTCGATTGCGAGGGCGCATCCCTCAGACGGAATTGATCAACGCCCTAAGACTTTATCCTTTATCCTTTAGTGAATGCTATCCAAGTGGTGTCATTTTGGAGACTCGAGTAAAAAATCACTCTTCGTCAGCATGTTTATGAAAACATTAGTGTACGGTAGTGATTGGCATAGAGCTGATCAATAATCAAAAATCAAAACAGGTAATTCACAGCGGAGGTTTTTTGGGTTTGAAGAGGCAATAACTAGGAATTAGGTCCATAAATCTTCCGTCAATTAACAATTAGGCTCGCCTTTACACTGGAAACAGTAGAGTCTCACGTCCTCTTGGTAATCGAAGGGATTACTGGTAAGGTATGAACAAAGTCCTAGGTGAACATGCAGCCACAGCCCGTCAGACCGAATTGGCACTTACAGAGTAAAGAGCCCTGGATTTACGTCCTATGAAATCTCCGGTGAGTCGAGGTAGCCATCCATCATGCGGATCGTGGAGTTGTCCGCATTCTGCGCCCCCTCCCTTAGGATGTTGCTGGAGACCGCCTGGCCCTTCGATGCTAAAATTCTTGACTGATTATTCAGTTCGATCGCGGAACGGGTCGATAGGCATTAGCGACATGGTGAATGTCACGATTTAGCGCAGAAATCATTTATACCTGGGATCATTTATACCGGTGACATTTCCCGGCAGATATGTTGTCTTCCCGATTGGGCATTTTTGCATAGGGAAGCTCGATCCATTCTGTTGACTGTATTCTCATTGTAGGCCTACGAAAGTTGATAAATCTGACTGTCATACAGGCCTTGGTGTGGTCACCTCGAAATCATTGGGTGGCAAGGTATCTCTCTTCCCAAAGGGGGAGGGGGTGCTACCTGAGAAATACAGCACTACTCGACACTGCCTTCACCTACTCAAGCTACATGATGAACCAGAAATTGGGAGTTTGTCCTACAGCTCTCTTTGGAAAATTTCAACCTCTAGGGCGAGCTTAGACTACAGAACTTATTTTTATCGAACGTGAGGTTTGTTGAAGGATTCAACAATCGATATCCCAATGTTCGCCTCGTTTGTCAGTGGCAAATTCATGCTCATTATGATGTTCCATTATTGATCCGACACCGAATATTAAAAAAGTTTATTAGCTGGCTGTACTGGTTTGGCACTTTTGTTGGAATCCATTGAATGTTCGTTGTGTTCCTGACTGGTGACGTAATCTAATGAATGCTGTTCATAAAGGATAAAGACTTGGGACATTAACAACCCCACGCGTTCGACTTCCATTCTGAATCGTAGTGGCGCAATGAGTCCGTATATGGCTTATACGATAGCTTGCTGTGATCAGTCGATGTACATGCCATTGCTTTTATACTCCCAGACGAGTCTAAGACCAGATAGTCACCCCGAGGCGATGGAAGGCTTTGTTGGCCTAAGCGGATATCGAGCCGGGATCCGAACCCCTGACCTTGCGTGTGAGATAGTGCGCCACTCGCCATTACACCACCTGCGTCCTGTTTGGAAGGGCGCGACGAGTAAACTAACCCAGGGATGGGCAGTGTATTAGCACCCAGGGATGGGCAGCGTAATGTTGTTCCGTTTGAAATTGTCAGAGCATTTGAAAATGCACGTATAGATGCGAAAGAATGGATCTGTGGCGTATGCAGATAATCGCGTATGGCAGGTGTACCTTATCATACACTTGGTCCGGGATGGAATTCTGACTTGATACGCACCCCGACCGGCATATCTTCATTCTTCAGGGGTTGGTTAATTGGTTCCAGAATGTTTGTGAGAGTAAGAGCATTGAATTGTAGATCTGCTTGTCACCGCAAGTCACATTGCACAGGCCACAGGCGCATTCAAACACCGCTAAGATTCTGAATGGAAGTTGAATGCGTGGATGCATTTCAGAATGAGGTAGACCTTCGCCAGAGGACCTTTTCTCTTCAAATTCAAATTCAATGTATGTTCGAGTACGATGAAGTATGCAAAGCCTCAGCATTGCTTGGGAAGATTTTCTCCATTGATACCGGCGGAGGAATTTGAGAAGGATAGAGGTAACTATAGAGATCTATGCCCATCCATTCACGTGACGCACCGGTATAACTGCAATTTCAAGTCGAAAGTATGCATGGCGCATCTATTTGGCTGCAGTCGACTCTTATACTTCATCAGATTGAAATGCTCCGAAAGTTTCTTTGCTGTTTTCGTCTGTCTGCCCTATTTTGGAACGGAATCGGAAATCCTAGAAGACGCCTATTTTTCTTAACGAAATATTCTGGAAATGCGAGCGCA